TGAACCATGGGACTACATAAGTAACTACTCCGTAACCATCCTCACTTGCATCACAGAAATGGTGCAACTGTGTCTTAGTTGTGGCTCCAAAGTTCTGGGGTTTCAGACACCTCATGAGACTAAAGTTCTCCAGAAGACGGAGTTCCTGCAACCAGGTTATCCACTTTTCAGCAACTGACTCCATAATGATGTCATCCCATCCAAGTGATCTCCTGCACAGATCTCTTAGGATTTTCTTTGCAGACAAGATGACTGGACTAAGTATCCCTAGAGGATCATAGATGGAACTAACAGTGGAGAGAATCCCTCTTCTGGTAAGTGGTCTGTCTTTGATGACAATCTTAAACTTAAAGGTATCAGAGCGAATACACCATTCCACACCAAGTACTCTTTCCACAGGTAGCCGATCCAAGTCCATGTCCAACTCTTTCATGACCTTTGCTCTTTGTGTTTCAGGCATCACAGCTAGGACTTCACGCCTGTTGCTTGTCCATTTATTGAGATGGAACCCACCCTTGGCACAGATTGAGACAAGGTCATGATAGAGAGCTACTGCCTCCTCTTCGGTAGGTACAGACACCAAACAGTCATCCACGTAGAAGCAATGTAAGACCTTTTCTACAACTTCCTGGCTAAACTGTTCTTTATGGTCCTCTGCACACTTCCTGAGGGCAAAATTGGCACAGCTGGGTGATGAGGTTGCTCCAAAGAGATGCACCTTCATCCTGAAGTCAGTAAGGGGTTGATTCAGATCCCCATCTGGCCACCATAAGAATCTCAACAGATCAGCATCTCCAGCAGGTACCTTCACTTGGTGAAACATGGCTTCCACATCTGCCATGATCACCACTGGTTCCTTTCTGAATCTAGTCACCACTCCAATCAGTGAACTGGTCAGATCAGGTCCTTGTAGCAGCTCAGCATTGAGAGATGTTCCCTGGAAACTAGCCCCACAGTCAAAGACAACTCTGATTTTCCCTTTCGTACGATGGTAAACACCATGGTGTGGAATATACCAGACTTTGCCATCTCCACGATCTATCTCACGTTCAGGCACCTTTTCTGCATAACCTTTGGCAACAAGCTCGTTCATGAAGGCATTATAGTCTGCATGAAACGGTAAGTCCCTCTGAAGCCTTTTCTTTAGGTGCAAAGCACGCTGTACAACAATACTTCTGTTATTTGGCATGCTAAGTTCTGGCTTCCTCAAAGGTAAGTTGATCTGGTAGTGACCATCTATTTGCTTCGCAGAGTTTGTGACAAGTTCCATGAACTTATGATCCTCTCTTGACATTGCAGGTTGCTCATCCATACTGCTCTCAGGAAAATCTGCTGCAAACTGCTGCTGCCAGAGTCCGTCCAAATTCACAACAGACACTCTGTTTACTGTTACATGTTGCTGCTCACAACTCAATGTACTCCCACTGTCTCCTTTCAGTGGTCCATTCACAGTCCAGCCCAGCATTGTCTTTATTGCATAGGGTCCGCCATTGGCACTGCGAATGACTTGCAAAGGTTCCAGGGCCTGGGGAACATTTGTCCCTATCAGCAGCTCAATCCCTGCATCTATATCAGGCAGGTATACATGTTTCAAATGAGGCCAATCCTCAAGATCACACTGTTTGGGAATGTTACCTTTGTGGACAGGCATGGACTCCTGTGTATAAGTACCTGGCAGTTCACAAAAATCCCCCTGATCCAAGCCAGCCACTTCCAGTCCTGACACGATATGGCTGCTCACAACCTTTTCTTGGCCCATGGTCCGCAAAAGAATGTGCACTTTCCTCCCTGTGAGGCCCAGCTTGTGCACTAAACTGTCAGTACAAAATACTGCTGTACTTCCCGGATCCAAGAAAGCGTATGTGGTAAGTATTGTGGTGCCCTTCTGTGATTTGACCTGAACGGGGACTATGGGAAGTTTGCAATCATGATCACCAGCCCCAGTAAGACCACTCGACACCAGAGTGCTGTCCACCATCATCTCTGCTTTCCTCTCAGCATGATCAGAATCCTTCACCTTTTCTTTTGCAGGAATGTGCAGTACAGTAGGATGTTTGAGGCCACATTTTCCACAAGAAATCCGTTTTCTGCAATCTTTACTGATGTGTCCAATACACAGACAGCCAAAACAGACACCTTTATCTCTTAAGAAGCCTATCTTCTCTTTGTGAGTCCTCTTCTCCAACTTGGGACACAGATCCAATGTGTGTCCTCCTCCACAGCAAAAACATGTCTTCTTTGCTGATTGCACAAATTCCTGACCACTGACTCCAGGCTGATTTCTCTTTTCCACAGGGGCCACAGGGGCCACAGTGGTGGCGAAGCTGGTCCCTTTCGTACCCGAACGAGGCTGTGTGGCAAGTTTATGTACACCTCTAGGTATGGTAACTGAGGGGGCATCCTGAATATTTCCGAACACTGGGTCTGTCAGAATTCTCACTTGTCTCTCAATGAAATTTGTAATGTCTTTGAATGTAGCTCTGTATCCACGCCTCTCTTGCAGCTCACAGGCCTCAGATCTCCATTTGTCCCTGTACTTATAAGGCAACTTCTTTATAATGGTTAGCATGTTAGCAGGCATATCGAAGTCATGCAAATACTGCACCTCTTCCATGGCATTAGAACAGCCTGTAAGGAAAAGGCTGTAATCCTGAAGAGCTTTAACATCTTCTGTTTTGATGGAGGGCCATGAAAGAGCCTTTTCCATGTATGCCGCTGCAACCTTCTGCTCATTACCAAAATGCTCAGATAACAAAACTTTAGCTTTAGCATATCCTCTCACTGGATCAAGATGCTGACAGCTTCTGATTAGTTGTTTAGGAAGACCACTGGTATACTGCTCCAAGTAGTATAGTCGGTCACTGCAGCTCTCCGTGTTCGCTTCAACCCCATTCTCAAAGGCCCTTCCAAATGTGTGGTATTTTAATGGATCACCATCAAAAATTGGGATCTCCCTCCTAGGCAAGGATGAGAGGCTTTGTTGTTGTATTAAGAGTGATGTTATTTCATTTTGCCTTCCCATAATAGACAGCATATTATTTTGATCCACATTTCCTGATCCAGCTCTTGCACCCAAGGCATCTTGCTGTTGAACGTGCATACTTTCATTAGCATTTTGACCTGCCTGTAGACTGGGTGCATTAAGAGAGTAAGAATGTGGCTGAGGTGCTTTATTGTTTTCCTTTGGTTCCGTTGACTTCAGCGGAACAAATGCCCTGGAATCAGCTCTGAGAGGTTGTGATGTTAATTTTTGTTTTTCCAGGTATGAATTCATTCCATCTGAGTGTTTTGTTCTTGAACCTCTCCCACTTAAGATGCTCCTGGATCGCAACACATCCAGTTTAGCCATTTGAGCTGCAATTTCCTCATCCAATTTAAGCTGTTCCTTCCTTTTCCGTAGTTGTTCCTCCTGTTGTTCCAGTTCATGCTTGTCCTTTAATATTTTTTGTCTCGCCATAAGTGCTGCCAAGTCAGCTTCAGCTTGGAGACGAACTGAAGAAGTGGTTGAAACAGCTGATTTTCCTCCAAACACAGAGCTTTGTGATTTGGCTCCTCTTCCCACATTAGACACACTGTCACTTGGTTTTACTTCATCCGGTGGATCATCAGCCATAATTACTGACACAGCCTGCACTGCTGTTTGAGAGTGATAAATGTCAGAAATGCACTCTCCAGTTGTTACAGCTTGGCCAGACTGATCAGGACTGTCATTGTGGATCGATTCCACTGTTTCACTCATCCATTTATTCACATTCTCCTTAAATGTATTGCTGTACCTCATGATGCTTGAGAACCACTCATCTTGTTTAGTTTGTTCATCCTCTGGGAGTAAGGGAAGCAGCATGTTGTGCAATGTGGTGGCATTCTCACAAAGTTCATTTAAATTGTCAGTATGAAGTAGCACAGTAGAGACTTTTTCCTTTGTTTTCATGAGAGTTTTCGTTTCTGGTATGAGACATTTAATTTTGTGCACAATGTTCTTGCGTTCTTGCTGAAGCTTCTCAATTTTATTTGCCATGGCTTTGAAGGTGAGTTTAATTTCTCTTTTTCCACACTGCATTTCAGCATTTGCAAAATCGGCGTTTATTTGACTCATTTTCCTCCTTTAATTTCCAGTGCATGTTTTCCCCAAACCTTGCGCATTTGAAACTGCGTCCATGAATCAAGAGGCATTCTCCATCAGACAGACATTATTTTTCCACAACAGCAAAGCACCAGTAACTTCGAGGAGACACAACGGAGATTTCAAAATAAAAGCATGGAGACATCCAGCACCGTGAGCCATCACAATATCAAAGCATGAGTCCGGAGAACCATAGGTCATATCAGGCAATCCTCCCAAATTGACAATCATCATATGCAAGCCGCATTCCTTTCCTCAGTAAGGCTGAGAGCAGACAAGCTTACCTTGCCGCAGATTCACAATGCCGCGTGGCGTCCGGAGCTGTCAATCAAACAGCGCTTACCCTCATGCTTCATCTCCGATGCTTGTTCTTTTCATTTTCCTCCGAAGTGCACCTCGATCCGTTGCCGTGTGAGTGATTATAATCTGCCTTTTTTGTTGACTTAATATAGCGACCTCAGAGACCAGGATGTCGCTTAGAGGATGAGATACGGGCCGAGTCTAATTGTCTGACGCGCTTTGTCAACGGACCAGCTGAGACGGGAATCAATTAGGAAAAACGTGCTTTAATACTAAAGAAACGATCAACAAAACGATACCAACTGAAGAAACAGCGATCACTGGACTTAAAGAGTATGTGTACATGCGGTCAACAAAAAATACGGCGACCCACTCAAAACCTCTTCCCTCGTGAACACAGGTGACCAGGTGCTTAAATCAACTGAGTGACACCGCCCCTATTCCCGTGACCCGGATTCCACAAATCACTGCCACCAATCACAACAAAATACCAAAAACAAATCAAGAGCATAACCACAAACCTTTACCTTGCGGCTCCTACATTAATTTCCTTTGAATCATGTCAAATAATTTAGCTTTAATCATCATATTCGTCTTCCTCATCATCATTTATGTATGTATGGATTTCTTCCGGGTCATCCTCATCTGTCCCCTCCTCAACCAAGACATCAATGAGGGCTTTTGGGATGACATCACCTTCAAACCACAGAGGCTCTAGTTTTCCATTTTCCATGTTGAGATGAAATCCATTGTCAAGAGGTGATGGGATTGCTGGGTTGTTCTCGTGAGCCCTCTTCCAGATGCATACCTGAAAATTCACTCTCTTGATGTGCTGAATGAGAACCCTCTTGCACGGTGGAAAGGTGGAAAGGTCAATGGAGAGACCTGGGCGAAGCTCAAGGCCACACATTTTCTGCACCCTGATCTCTCTTGCCTCATCGACACGCTTCACTCGAGGACCAAAGCTGTAGAGGTGGCAGGTGAACTCCTCAATACCAGATAGTACAAACCCATCAAGTTCCCAAGAGTTCCCCACTGCGGCAAAGATCTCTATGAACTTTGACTGCTTGTTCAAAAGCTTCATAGGTCGCACCTTTCCTTTGCCTTTGAATGTTGAGGTGCAGTCAGCACCAGTGAAGGCATGCAGGGCCAGCAGGGCCGAGATATGCTCTTGGGAATAGTCTTCAGCCAGATGGTTGATGTTTATGAGCTTATCTCCCATGTCAAATATCACGTCTACTGTGAAGGTCTTGGCATAGTAGAGGAGAATGAAGAAAATGTCTGAGTCTTTGGGTCTGACTCTGACAGTTCTGATGTGAGGCAATGTGTTTTGTATGTGATTAATGTAGATGATCACCCTCACATCAGTTTCTTCATGTTTTGAACAGAGGTCAGGAAGAAGTGCCTTTGAAACCACTCCATCTTCAACTTTAATCCTATAAGCTTGACCAGCCTCAATAAAGATAATGGACCTTTGCTGTATCACTTCCAACATTTCTGTGGAGCTCCAGTGCTCAAGAAGCAAATGTATGAGTGACTTCTTGTTGTCATCATTTGAGAGAAACCCTTTCCAATCTGCAGGTCGGGGAACATTCAGACCATTGACTATATACTGCTCATCACAACCTCTACGGTCCCTCTCAGCTGACTTTGGAGAGTGAAGACGGTCAACATAGGTATCTGTACTGAACACCGTTTCTGCTGCAGGAGGTTGATTTTGGTGATACATTCTGAAATGGTTTTCACTGTCTGGGGCACATTGCTCATGTAGAAAGTGGCACAGACCACACTGACTAGCTGCGGGGAGCTCCACATTCTCAGCATCTTTAATCATGAGGTTCATCCCCTGTGCTTTATTGTTTTTTGCAAAGAATCCAGCAACTGTTGAGATGGAGTATGGAGTCACAGTCAGTGGGCAGGACATCAGTTCAGAGATGCTGATTTGTGACGGTAGTAGTTTGGATTTGATGAAGATCTGAAAGATAAACCCACTTGTCGCCTTATACTGGATCACCTTCTGGTTGGATGCCACAAGCTGCCTTTTAGGTGTGGTGGAAGACATAGCTTTGAACTTGTTCCTCTTGATAGGTTCGAAGAAAGGGATTTCTTTTCCTATTAGTCGATTACGGATGAACTTTTCTTTTTGTTTTTGGCTGTTTTTAAGAGCATTCAACACATCATAGCGCACATCTTCTGGTATAGCTGCCCCCGAAGACAGACTTGTGAGTGGCTGATGAGTCTCAATCTGGAATGGATTTATGAAGCTCTGGAATGCATCTATTGTGCGCTGCACTTGCTCCTTAGACCAATGATTTCACGTGGTCTCAGGTCTCTTTGCTGGTTTTCAGAGTGGTTACTTTGGCAGCCAACCATGTTCCACATCTTCTCTACAAACTCTCCTTTAGCATGAGCAATCAGGATGTGACGTTGGCTTGCGCCATAATTACTGGTGATTCCACAGATCCCAACAGATGATGTCCCAGAACCGGACTTTGACTTCAGCCATTTCATAGCTGTCTCCTCTATCATTTTGTCAGTGTGGCAGCGGTTGCCTGGGATGTGTGATCTGGCTACACTGATTGCTCCAGCATGGAGAAGTTTCTCTGCACCAGGATGAGTTTCCTCAATGTGTTCTAGAAAATAGCCAAAATATGTGAGGAACCTAGCATAATTCTGTTGATCTGAGCAGACAAAGAGGTCTGGCATGGCATTTATGACAGCTTTGTACCCATCAAAGTCATTCATCTTTACTGCTCTATTTATTGACAGCACACGCCAAACGCAGTCCATGTATTCCAACCAAAATCGGGGGGGTTTCGCCCAGATCTCCATTTCGCACAGTTTGTCTGAAGGAAAGATACTCTCCTATGTGGGTAGATACATTGGCTGATGCTAACACATCAGTGAGAGGAGATTCACTGAGGTTAATTTTTTCCAGAAGATGGATACTTTCAGAGGAGAGTGATTCATGATTTTCCAGATACTTTTCATATAGGAGTCTCTCGAGAGCTTCGAGCATGGACTTGTGTGTGTTCATAGCTCTATCCCAATTCTTCCCATCAGTGACTCCATTCACAGAGCCGGTGGTGATTAGTTTAGCTTCTAAAGCCACTTCTACCCATCCACTACCCTGACAGTATCTTTTGCCTATGCCTTTCAAGTATGCTCCACAGCAATGGAATGTGCCAATGAGGATTATGTGTTTTTTGTATCTCTCAGGTTCATTCCATATTAGAGGGTAGGCTTTCATGCAAACCCCTAGGTCAAATGTATTGATGGTGTACTCTTGTCCAGCTTCAGAGGATGCAGCTTCGAAGGCACTCTTGAATGGTTGACAATTCTGTTATTGGAGCATTGATCATGGGATAATACCCAATTGTGGTGAGGCATTTTGGAGAACAGCCAGTTATCGACAACCAGCCTGACAAACCAGGGATGTGCTGATCCACGGAGTTGACTTTACGAGCAATGACCCAAACAAGATCAGAATCTGATTTTGAGTTGCTGCATGTGGCTGCAGTATTTGAATTGGATGCTGCCAGTACTGGTTCTGACCGTTTCCGCTTGTAGTAAGTTGGCAAATCCTGAGCAGGCCTTTTGAACGATCTTTGTTTTGTTGTAGGTCGAGTGGTAGGATCTTGTCTAGGCTGTACTGAGGTAAGGCCTGCTGTATCTGAAGATCCTAGATCTTGCATGTAGATCCCTGCAGCATATATATTTGATACCAGCTGATCAAAATTGTCCCAGTCACTATGGAAGACTGCTCCGTCAGGTTGTCCCCTGATAATGTCAGATTCGCTTATTATTGACGCACTTTCCACTATTGAATTTGCCAGAGCCGTTTCAAGTTCCAGTGAGTATGAGTATGATTCACAGTGGCCAAGCTTATTGATCAGAGTGGTTATGCTCTTGGATCTAAAGAGATGCCGTAGTGTCATACATAGCAAGATGTGTTTCTTCATCTTCCATCGGCCTGATGTCACTGCTCTGCAGAGGTACTGGGAAATGGAGATTGCTAGACATTCCTCCGCATGTGATGGTTTTTGTGATGGCTTTTTATCACCACAGATTAGGTTTAATACAAATTGTAAAACCTCAGAGGGAATCTCTTTTTTTGGTTCTGGGATATCATGAGCTGTAGGGGGCCATGTCAGTGGTTCTGAATTTTTGAATGCTTTTATGATTTTCTGGTGAAGGTCATGGCTGATTTCTTTACTCCAATCAGTATTTCCCATCTCATAAGCTGAACACACTGTTGTCGTCATCGATTCCTGGGAACGACAAAACACTAACATGTTTTTGAATGGGCAAGATAAGAAGTCAACACTGTCTTTGAGATTAGGATGGCATTCAATTTTTTGTCTGGGGTTGTGAGCTGTTATTGGAGAAGCAGATCCTTCAAATTTTCTCAATGTATCATTATACAAATCCTTAAGATAAGCAAGTTTGACAACCTGACCTTTTTGAATAATTTCAGTTTGTATGTGGTCATATACCTGAGTGAAAGCTTTACTTATCATTGCTTTCTTTGTCGATGCTGCATCTGTGCTATCAGGCTGAGATGCTTGCTTTACCAAGTACTGCTTGCGACAGCAGTCATGAAATTGTGCCTGCCTAGCAACAAGATCCACACCCACAATTTTGCATAACAGATCTTCATCACCTAGTTCCATAGCTTTTGTCTCAATAGATTTGTATGCAGTTGACTGGAATTTCTGCAAGCTATATCTCTTGCCTGAAGCTCGCTTCACAGTGCCACTTTTGCAGAATATGCAGTAATTGCCGAACAAAACTGAAGAATCCATATGCTCACGTTTTGGTCTGTGATTTACTGCTTGGCATGTTCTTGCTAAGGCATGGGTTGCATTACAGAAAAATGTGCATTGACAGTTTCTGTGATATCCACTATTTAAGGACAATTCATCAGGAATTGATTCGCAAACATCTTGCATACCGCCGCAGTCAGATGTTTGTGTCAAAAGTTCGTATTTCATATCATGAATTTCCTTAAATGTCCTCAGTGGATCAGCCTTAGAAGAAAATGCCACAAAGCCATCATTTACTTCCCCCTTGCAACCATGCAAAATGCAATTTTCCATGCGTGACTGAGGTGGTAGCACATTCTCCATCTTTGATGAACTCTGGCAAGGTGTCCAGGCTTCATCCTTTTGTTGTCACTTTGACATGTTTACTGCTTTACACGTAGCAGTGCAACCACCTGAAAATCAGTATAATCATTGCAACAAAGCGTGTGTTATTAAGGGTGCAAATTAACATTAATTCAAAGCTATTAGATATTTCATGTATTGTATTCATATCACCTCAAATCTGCACAGACTGATGTTGTTGCAGGTGTAGACCATTATATTATCATCCTACATGAGAAAAGGGCAAATGTTCATATGTCTTCTCACTTCCAGTCACACATGAAAACAATGAAGTGTGATAATGTAGCTTAACTTTATAAAATAATACCTTAACTGTTTGCTCTTGTAGTACAAATTGAGTATGTTCAGTCTGGTAAATCTGAAATATTAGAAATGAATTTATGGATTGTAAAGGTATGGTTTAAACTTATACACGACCAGGACCAGGATAAGCGGAAGAAAATGACGACGAGGTTTGCTGTGTCCAAGTGGAAGTCACCCCTCAACCGGAGCCCCCTTATTGGTGTGCCTCTTTGTGATATATGATATGGAGCGAAAAGAATGACCCTTCTCTTTTCTCACAATAATGTGGTTTTTTCATTGATGCATATACGAGAATATCTTTGAGGTTTTTGTTTCTCCTAAAAGCAGTATTTCTAAAAAATTGTGACAGAGTCAAATGAGCCCTGAATAACCCCAAATGTTCTTCACATCCGAGTGCTTAACTCCGCTGCTGGAGGGGAAAAGGTGATAAAAAGAGGAATCATTCTCCTCTCCTCTGTGTCTCCCTTGTTGAGGCCCTGCTCGATCTTGGTTTTAATTTTTCATAGGAAGGATCGGGTATATCCCTGCTTTCTGAGGTCCCCAAAGAGGACTGCAGTGGCTTCTTCCACATCCTGTGGTCTGGTGCAAATCCTGTAGAACCAGATTAACTGGGATTTCACCAGGCCTCTGAAGCTGTGTTTAGGGTGATGACTGTTTTTATGGAAAAGAGCGTGTGTGTCGGTAGGTTTAAAATACACTTTGGAGCTCTGGAGGTTTGGATACTTAAGTGATTGATGCTGATGACGGCAAGGCCAGTGAGCTGTTCCTGAGACATGGTTGACCTTAGGTATGACTTTATCAACTTGAGCTCCTCTCTGCTTGAGCCACCGTGACTGGCAGAGTGAGAGCAATCCTGAGAGCAGAGCTGTCCCCCGCGACCCCCTCCTCGCTTCCTCTCATACAGTCTGTCAGCCTCTGTCTAGCAACGTCGCAGCAAGCAGCGGCGCCTACAGCAACAGGGGGCGCCAATTTGACAAGAGTTAATACAAACCCACTTTGCGGCGCAGATTTATTTATTTTTTTTATTTTTGGAAGTGCTTGTGCCGAGTCATAACACAAAGTTCTCTCTTCTCCTTCATGTTGCTGGATAAAAACCATTTTGTTCAAAAATTCTATTTTTTATTTTTGAAGATTATGTTTTGTGGTTATTGATGGATGGTTAGGGTTAAAGATAGGGTCAGGGTTGTTAGGGTCAGAGATATGGTTAGGGTTGGGGCTGCAGGTTCCCAAATGGGTAAGGTTAGGGTTAAGGTCAGGGACATGGTTCGAGTTGGGGCTGCAGATTCCCAAGTGGTTAGGGTTAGGGTTAGAGATGGGGTCAGGGTTAGAGTCAGGGATACAGCCAGGGTTGGGGCTGCATGTCCCAGAGTGGATAGAGTCAGCGCTGCAAGGCTCCAGGTGGTTAGATTTAGGGCCCAAGTTGAGGTTGAGGTTAGACTGAGGGGATGGTGAGCGGGCCAGTTCCAGGCTGTTAACCTCCTGTCTGTCGATGTTATCAGAACAGGTTCATCTGAATTGCTTAGGACGAGGAGGTAAGGGTAGGAAGGCTGACACGGCCTCCAGGGGTGAACCTGGTTGTGCGGTCCCAGTCGTGGCCAGTCTTCTTCACTGAACCCCAATATCTCTCCTGGGATGAATGTGGAGTAAGTCACAGGTTTTGTCATCTCACCTTGAATCAGAGATGTCAGAGTTGTTACACATGAATTTCTAAATCGATTTTTGTATCTCATTTTTCCAAAAGCCACTGCCTTTTCAAATACAAGCTGGTTGGAGGGGGGAAGGTCATGGAGAAGATTTGAGATGACTTTTTATTAATGTGTATTCAAAATTTGCATGATTTTCAGCATCCATTCATATGTGTCTGTTTTGCTTTGTCATAGGTGGTATCAGAAGTAGATGATGGCCTAACAAAAGCAGTGAGTTTTGTGATTTGTCTGGACATTCCCACAGGGTATAGTCCGGTAAGTTGGTGTTTTTGGATGATTTCCGACTGGTGTATTGCCTGAAACAACTTGAAATATTTCTTTGCAGTTTAACCTCTGTGTTCTATATGTGTGTATAAGGAGGCCTCCGAAATTGAAGACTCCAGGTTTGTTTATGGTGAGATTGCATGATAGCAGTACAGGGATTTCAACCGAAGCATGTGTTGAAACTGAGGGGAGAAAAAAAGTCATCACTATGGCTGTGATATAGGTGAGTATATAAAATGCTTTCCTCCCTTCGGAAAACTGTCTAAAAGGGAGTGTTTAATATGGGATAAACACTTCCCCATGATTTATGTCCTATACACTCATACATAAAGGCTGTAGTATAAAAAGTGGTAAGAAAGGAGAGTTAACAGAGCAGTGGGCAGGGGTTATGGACCTCCACCCAAACCCTGTATTGGGGATTCACCCTGTGTGAAACATTTTATTGATTTGACACATGTTTTTGTGTTTTTAAGGATTTTTTTGTTTGGATTCACACACACATGCTCCACCATCAAAGCAAACTGCTAACAAGGAAAGGGGGACAACACAAAAAACATACAAACCAGACAAAATGAACAAAGCAAACTATCCTCACAGGGAACGAGGTGGAGGCCCAAGGCCTCAGCCTCCTCTCCCTATTTCCCAGCCCAAGCCTCATTTTTCAGTACAAAAAGTCCTTTTTAGAAAGGAAAGCTTTTTTTTCGCTCTTGCTTGAGAGCTGAAATAAAAGCAAATTTGACAACCTTGTTTGAATGAAGGATTGAAGAAAAGAGATTAGTTTAAAAAAAAAAAAGTAGGTTGAAAGGGTTCAAAAGTAAGAGAGCTCCTGACGTTTCGCCACCTTCATGGCTTTTTCAGAGGAAAATGGAAGCAACAGGATGTGAGGTAAAAGGAAATATGAATAGTTAAAAGATCATCATCCTATCCTAGTTTACTTTTTGGTAAAAAAAAATATTATTTTATGTAAGATATGTTATCCTGGGATTTTCTAAGCACATGGTAAGTATGTTTCTCCCATACAGGACAGTAAGTACATTACTGTGGCATTGGCGGGTTATGTTAGGGTGAGACGTAAGATTTATTGGATGTGTGTATATTTTACTTAACATCAGTGCATTGGCATGCAGCATGTATGTAATTGTTTGTCTGACTATAGAGTTCACTTTATCGATGTAATGATCTATATCTTTTTGTTTTCCTCATCCAAGGAGGAGTTCAAAAGAAAAAAAGGTGTGAGGGAAAAAGACGGAATAAATAAAGAAGAAGAAGGGGTTTCCCAAAAAAAGATGAGAACATTTGTTTTGCACCAAGGTAAGTTTAATGTTTTGGGTCAGGTTTTGTATTTCCTTATTGTAATTGTTGTGATTTATTCACTCTGTTTTATCTTTTTCATTGTCCCTCCTTACCATATGATATGATAAATATTTTCCCTAAATAGTTGCAGTACATTTTTTTGTCCAGTAGATAGAGCCAAAGTCTTTCAAATAAATAAGTACAACTCTAAAAGCAACCACTCAAAAAAACTGCACCAGGGGAAGAAATTCAGACGCAGTGGCGGCTGGTGAGAAAAATAGTTATTGGGGCTTAAGGTTTGGAAACCAGAACCCTGTAGGGGGGTCCAGGGGTATCCTCCCTCGTGAGATTTTTTTTGGTTTTCACATGTAAATGAAGCATTCTGAGCAAATAATTAAGGAAACATATGATCTTGACCAACAAAGACAAATGGGGTGGGGATACTGTATTTCAACATATTAACAGGGCATTATAGCCAGCACACAGCCTACGTACATTCAATGTAATCCTACGATATAGAAACTGACAGGAGCACATACTCGTGTACATTCACCTGCATCTCAACAGGTTAGGCTACAGCAAAAAAGCACACAAAGACAACTACAGAAAAAATAGTTAAGAGCAGACCCACATTTATTAACATAAACAATTTGTTTATCAACATAAACTATTTACAAACAATTTATTTATTGACAATCAGTGGAACTGAAATATCAACAAGGTATGGTATGGTATGCTGCTTTGCTGTTGTTTATTCTGTAACTACTTTGTTGTGTTTATTTATTACTGTGTTCTCAATGTACCATATACCATGTAATCACAATATTCAGCTTGTAATATAGATGATTTTAATAATAATAAAAATAATAATAAATATGATTTATAATTAAATATAATTTATAATAATATATAATATAATCTATTACAATACATAATAATAAATATAATTTATAATAATAATAATAAATATAATTTTTAAGTAATTATAATTTATAATCTATTACAATTATAATTATTAATAATAATAATAATAAAAATAATACATATAATTTACAATCAATTATAATTTATACTAATATATTATATAATCTATTACAATAAGTAATAATTATTGTAATAATAATAATAATATAAAAATAATACATTTAATTTATAAATAATTTTAATTTATAATAATAAAAAATATACTCTATTACAATAAATATGATTTATAATTAATTATAATTTATTATTTATAATTTTATATTTATTTATAATTATTTTTACAGGTTTTCAAGAACACATGGGAACTCTGAAAATAACAAATGGGAAATCTGGAGGGTTGGGCCAAGGGGAGAAACGAGCTCTTCATTATATTTTCATCAACTTCTTCTGAACTAAATTTTTCTGAACTAA